CAATGCTCCATGACGTCATGTTGGCCAATGTCCGCAGAAGCGTCTTCGGACAGCTCAACGGCTTGAAACTGAGATGTGCACTTCCCCCTAGAGTCAGCAACAACTAGCAGAGTAAAAATTGCAGGGACTCCTTTTTATGTGTTAGAATGCAAATGTCAAAGCTTTGAAAAGAAGACTCCTTAATGCCAACAATTTCTAGATATCGTAGATATTAAGCCTGCCAACATGGAAGAGCTGACGGAGGTAATAACAGCAGCCGAATTCCACCCAAACAGCTGCAATACTTTTGTGTACAGCAGTAGCAAGGGAACTATTCGCCTGTGTGACATGCGTGCCTCGGCGCTCTGTGACAGGCATTCGAAATGTGAGTAGCTTTTTCTCTTCTAATTGAGTTTTACCACCAGAGCAAATTGGTGTGAAGCAACAGACTGGAAAGTCCATTTAACTTTATATCCCCCAATTGTAAAACAAAAACAAAGCAGTTTAAAAAATACCTTTGACTTGAGTACTTCCACATCAGGATAGCAAACAAACGGAGCTAACTGTGGAAGGATGGAAGTGAATTTTAAGAATGCTCTAATTCTCCAGATACAGGAAGCACACAATCAGACCACAGAAGGAGGAAAGTGACTGATCCATAAGCTTTGGGCGGACATGAAGATTAAAAAAATAGAAAATGTCAGGGTGGCTGCATTTTGGGGGCATGAGGAGTGGTGGGGTGGGGTTGCATATTCGAGGATTTAACAACCGTTTCAGACAGAAATACCAACAGTGCAGAGTTGTGCAACGGAGCAAACGCTTGTCTGAGGATCTCACAAAATCACTCAAGATTTGCAGGATTTCAGCAGCCTCTTAAATTGTATGCAGGAGGTGCTCATTTTTATGTGTGTGCCTCTGTGTCTGCCACAAACACAATTTTTGGATTCCATGAGCACCTTTTAGGAGTTGATGCTGCATTACTACCCATCTCCACAACCCTGTATGCCCTTCCTTAAACCAAGCTTCTTCTCCTTGTTGTTGGCAAGAACGTACACAGGAAAACACATCACATTGGCTGTGTGTTTATAGATTTCCATCGAAAAGATCATTATCTAGTGGTTGGGCTTCAGTCTTTTGGAACACTTTTGCTCCTGATAATTAGAAAACGTCATTGCTTCATTGGATTTCTGGACAGCAGAAAGTCAAAAAATATGAGTTACTTGGCTATGGATAGTAATTTATAAATATATAATATATCAAGGTCTGCTTCTACCGGTCCTTGGAACTGGGAATGGGAATAAGGAAAGTTGGGTTCAAATTACTTTTGACCCCAGAATCGTTGTTTATTTGGACCTCTGGTGGATAATTTTTCATCTCAGCAGGATATGGCTTCCAAGGGTTAATGCATTAGGTTTTATGTGTTAATGTACAAAGGAAAATCTTCATGTCATTGAGGCAAGTTTGGCAAATGAATGTGCTTATATTTCACTTGCAGTATTTGAGGAGCCAGAAGATCCAAGCAGCCGATCCTTTTTTTCAGAAATCATCTCCTCCATCTCTGATGTCAAATTTAGCCATAGTGGTCGATATATGATGACTAGAGATTATCTGTCTGTGAAGATTTGGGATTTAAATATGGAAAACCGACCTGTGGAAACGTACCAGGTATGCCATACTGATAGACAGTTTGGGGGAATCAAACTTGTGATTAATTAATAATTAAGTCAAGATTTGGTAGAATAGTAAATATAGATGCTATAGAGCACATCTTCATCTCCACAATGAAATGTTTTGTTTATTGGTTTAAATCAGAAATAAATAATTCAGAATATCCTGAGGAACTTCTCTCATAGGTTCTGATGAAGTTGTGGAAGTTGTGGGTTTTTAAGGTTTAAAATATATATGTATCTCTTGGTGTTTGTAATACTGTAATGGGCCCTATTCTTGCAAAAGTGGCTGGTCCTAGCTTCAGATATAATTTATGGATGAATTTTTTACATGAACTGGTAAAACTATTTGAGAATGCATTTGCTCAACTAGCAATGTTAATTCTTACGTTTGTTTCTTTTAAACAATTTTAATTTTTGCATTATTTCTCATTTCTCATTATTTACCATCCTGAATCCTGAAATTTGTATAAAATTTATACATCCCGAAGTGTGTATGCTGGAAGAATGGAGTATAATTTCATACACTGTATGTCTGTATGAATTTATACTTTTGGTCATGATTTCAGATCTAGGGTATGCATTTGAGATTATCAGATTTTCTTTTTCTTTCAACTCCTTAAATAGTTTCTTAAAAGTGGTCAGACAGGTTCAGAGATCTCCTAAAATGAACTAATAGAGTTTGAGTAGCTGAAGGTGCGATATGAAGTTATGAGGCTGCTATTGAATTTAATAAAAAACTTTTATTAAGCATGATACGTTTTGCTGGAATAAGAACAGCAATCTAGAAATTAAAGGTACTTTATTTTTAGATGATGTGAACTTTCATATTCACACAATCATTTGCAATCTTAAATTATAGCCTCAAAACAGTTAATAACTGTTAATATGACAACTCGATACAAGAACAGTTTTTTTTCCGAACGCCATCACTCTGCTAAACAAATAATTCCCTCAACATTGTCAAACTAGTTACTAAGTCTGCATTACTATTAATCTTCTCATCGTTCCTATCACTCATCTCCTCCCACTTACGACTGTATGACTGTAACCTTGTTGCTGGTATCCTTACGATTTATATTGACTGTTTCCTAATATGATTTGATTGCTTATTTGTTCCCTATAACTATCATTAAGTGTTGCACCTTATGATTCTTGATGAATGTACCTTTTCTTTTATGTACACTGAAAGCATATGCACCAAGACAAATTCCTTGTGTGTCCAATCACACTTGGCCAATAAAGAATTCTATTCTATTCTATTCTATTCTATTCTATTCTATTCTATTCTATTCTATTCTATTCTATTCTATTCTATTCTATTCTATTCTATTCTATTCTATGTTATATTACTTCTTCTTCAAACTGTGTTTTTTATTTCCAGGTACATGAATACCTCAGAAGTAAACTTTGTTCGCTCTATGAAAATGACTGCATTTTTGACAAATTTGAGTGCTGCTGGAATGGGTCGGATAGGCAAGTTTCAATTTTTTCCTTCTTCTTTTAACATGTTCTTACTAATTGACAGTTAAAACTTTTTTTTCAATTGAATGTCTAGGAAGCTTGGCTGCATGGAAAGCTTATGTAGCTTGCACTGTGTTTTGGTACCTGTTTGGAAATGATTTCTAGAAAAGAAAAGAGGATAATAAAAGAATTAGCTGGATAATTTTTGTTATTATTTTGGTTTATCCAGTGAAACATCTAAATGGGTCAGTTTATGTTTTATGTTTAAACTTGTGCAATCTATTGTTTGGTTTGTGACAGACGGTTTTTTTTTTTCTTTTTGCTATGTTTATTTAAATCTTTATTTACCTACTAACATGTGGACCAAGCAGGGAGATCTGCTCAAAGTTTGGCTTGGGGCCTCTGATGCTTTGTGAATTCCAGATGAAATTGTATTAACCGATCCCAATCTTAGGTTATCCAGGCAGAATGGAATGCAGTTATATAACCCAAGGTCAGATAATTGGTTCATTTAGTCTAGTATTACATGCTATATGAAGCAATTGATGCTACCTGATCTTATGAACTGGGGATCCTAAGGATTGGATCTTCCTGCAAATACAGTTTATCCTCTCCTAATATACATCAGTTATCTTCGTATAGTAAATAATTACTGCATTGGTTGTAGTTGATGGTCTTTACACTGCTTAGGCTAACCTTGATAAAGCAGTGTATAACTTTAAAAACAAACCGTAACAGAACTCATATATACAATTGCTAATATTTCTGCCTTAGTGAGATCAGCAGTGTCTAAATTTATTTATTTATTACACATATACACCTAATATATATATATAAAATATAAATTTAGGCATTGCCGATCTCACTCGAAATGTGCAGCTTACAGTAAAGAAGTCAAAATCATATAAAAGATACAGTTAAAACAGAATGAAAACCAGTTGGCAGATTTTTAAAATTATATTTTGGAATCCATTTGCTTTTAGTTAGCTGCCTGCAAGAACCTCAGTCTGAAGAAATTGGGAACTGAAGGGGGAAAATGTAATCATTATGCCCTCATTTTCCTGATTAAAAACTGCTTGATTAAATTGTCAGTAGTCAAAGTCTCTTAAATCTGGGATTCCAGTTCTGAAGAATTTCAATATATAAATTGACAACTCTGGGCCTGTTTATTTTTCTCTCCCAAAGGAGATTTTATATTTGCAACAAAAATATGTAAAATACTCCATCTTATTTCTACATGTACTTCATAATTACTAATGTATTGCAAATGTTTTAAGCCAAACAGACTGGATAAATTAAAGAAGTCCCATTAGCGTAACCTTTCTAGGTAGGTGTAGCTTCCTCACACCTACCATCCGTGCAAATCAAGTACCACCAATTGAATGAAAACAACCAGCAACAGAAAGTCGAAGGCCAAATGATCGGAACATTCCCAGGATCAGAAACACAACCTCTCTTTTTCTCCTCTTTGTCTACAGCGTCGTCATGACTGGCTCCTACAACAACTTCTTCCGAATGTTCGATAGAAACACCAAGCGTGATGTCACATTAGAAGCTTCTCGGGAAAACAATAAGCCTCGTACGGTTTTGAAACCCCGTAAAGTCTGTGCGAGTGGCAAACGGAAGAAGGACGAGATAAGTGTTGATAGCTTAGACTTCAACAAGAAGATCCTCCACACAGCCTGGCATCCCAAGGAAAACATAATTGCTGTAGCCACTACAAACAACTTGTATATATTTCAAGACAAAGGGATTTAGGGTAGTGGTCCGATCAGAGGAGTTCACTTCCTGTCTAGTTCAGATAGGTGAACTTAGCATTTGTAAACAATATAGGGGAAGAAATGGAGCCAGAGAGAGAGAAGTTCGTTGCGGTGCACCTTCCCCAGTGTTTAAACAATGTGCCATAGTGACAACTCATTTTTTCTAGATAGCTACATGGATGGTCTCTCTCTATCTATCTCTCTCCCTCTCTGTCTTTCTGTCTCTCTCTCTCTGTTTCTCTCTTTCTCTCTCCCTCTCTCTTTTTCTGTCTTTGCTGGGCAGTTCTCCACTAGCCATTTAGGTGGGGGGTAGGGCACTTTTTAACATAAAATGACTACTTGCACCATCTCACCAAATGGACTAGAGATTGGATCATTGTCAACATTGGGTTCCTCCAATTTTTTATGCCTTCCATTGTGATGACGTCGGCCACAGAGCAAAGCCTTCAAGTAATGCTGTGGGATTTCATTGTGTAACCTCATTACTGTATTATTTGTGCCCCCCCTTTTTTTTAATTAAATAACAGCTTGTTCTTGCTGTGGCTTGTAGCATTCCTCTTATGTCTCCTGGACTCCTTCTCCCTTTTACAATCCCTTTCTCCAGCCCTGTGGTGGTGGTGGTGGTGGTATCTAGAGAAGAAGAAGAAGGGAAAAAAAAATGAAAAGCACATGAAATGGATCGGTGGTCAAGGGGAAGGAAAAAAGGGTCTCTTGCAAAGAGTAAAATGTTTTAATGAAATGTTGACTGCAATCACTCCTTGACATGTCTGGCGCTGAAAATGAAAAAGGAAAAAAAAACGTAAGGGGGAAAAATATACTGAATAAAAATGTCGAATAATGGCGAATTGTTTTTTTTTTTTTTTCAATCTACCTCTTTATATTAAAATTGTTTTTTTTAAGTTAGATACATGATAAAATGGTTTGATAATGATTTTAACCAGTATTAATTTTTATGAGGAAAGGGAGAAGGTTTTTTTTAATGACTTCTATTTGAAATTGTTAAAGACACTTTAATATTTATCTGCAGTTTCCATTAAAATAACTTTTTGGAACACTCTTGGATTCTGCCGAAAGCTTAAACAGTAATTGTCTTATTTGTCTTATGTCACCTACAGCCTTCTCCCTTTCTTCTTTATTAACAGAATTTTGTCAGAATTGGGGAGGGTCTGAATTTTGTAGAATAGTGTTAAAGTTTTATGGGACTAAACTTTTTCATGTGTTAATCCCTTTGTCCTAATTTCAGTGAATGCCTTGTTTCAGATTCAGACTCGCACAACAGTGCTTTTCTTTCCTTTCTGGAAAAAAAAAAAGAATTAAAGTTTCTTGTTTTTAAAAAGTATGTCGTACCAAATTTAATATGAAGTGATTTGAATAGATAAAAATTATTACATGCCTGACAACCCCGATACTTATGTATTTTTATTGCTACTAGGAACTTGAATGGAATTGTAGTTTGACCTTACAAACATTCCTCTTTTCGTGCAATTTTTTTTAAAACACTTGCTATTACAGGATATAGAAAAATGTTACAGTAATCAAAAAATGCTTCAAGTCCCCAGTAGATCCAATAGTAGATGTTGGCATACATTTAAAATATTTATGCACCATTTTTAGCACTCACATATTCTCCATCTTTAGGTAATTTTCCCAAATTTTCTATAATCTCCCAATCTAAAGACAGCACCTCTGAAAGCTAGTAGCTTTCCTTTTAGCAATAGCACTTAGACTTATATACCGCTTCACAGTGCTTTACAGCCCTCTCTAAGCAATTTACAGAGCCAGCATATGGCCCCTGACAGTCTGGGTCCTCATTTTACCTATCTTGGAATGATGGAAGGCTGAGTCAACCTTGAGCCATTCAGGATTGAACTGCTGGTTGTGGGCAGAGCCTGCCTGCAATACTCCATTCTAACCATTGCACTACCACGGCTCTTCTATATATTTTGCATTCCCTATATATTTTTAAGAATATAATCCAGGCCATTAGTTTTCAAATGAGGACTATATATTTATTAGTTTCAGGAGCTATGGGCTTGAATGCAAGACTGGTGGTGATATTATGAAGTCCCATTAATGGGCTGGAACTGTTTCACATTTTTATTTTGAGGAATAACTTTGATTGTTTTACTCCTTTAGGTACAACATGCCTGGTTGAAAGCTTAGCTGGATGCTTCTTACATTCCTTGATTTATTTCTGGAAACTAATAGAAAAGCACACTAGCTAATATTGTGTGGTCATTCTTGTCATTTTCTCTTTTGAATTAAAAGATACCAGGAATTTGTTCTAGGACCTTTTTGTATGTCAAATAGTATGTCCTCTGCCATTAAGTACAGATTGCCCCACCCTTGAGGAAAAGAGTGCTAGCCTAGAGTGTGTGATGGTTTCTAATCTGGTACACAAAATAGTATGTGAGCACAGCAAAATCTGAATGATTATCCCCACTCCAAAATGACTCATTTTGGGTGGTTGCCAGACCCCTTTGGCTCCATCTGAAATGACCATGGGAATGCATTCCCAAAATCTATTTGCATTGCAAAGTGGGTGAGAATGAACCGCTTTGTCCAAAAGATGTTCAGAAATTTAACAGAGTACTTGTGTAGCCTTTCAGGAAATAAGCCAGAACTCTACAACTGACACTTATTCCATGTTTTGCACTATACAGCTCGAAACCACTCCTGGGGAAAACACTCATTAGCCTGAGGGATCTTTAGGCATGACCCATGGGGGAGGAATCATTTTGATCACCTGAGATGAGATCATCATCATTCCTCAAACATGTATGAAAGGAGCAAAACAACACCTGGTTTACAATCTTTAAAAAAAAGAGAGGGGGGGGGCATGTGGAATTTTGTATTTGCTTGGAGTTGAAATAAAATGAAACAGCTTTATGTACTGTTTTATATGTTCAAAAGGTGCGGTTCTATTTTCAATCATGTGGTTCTTATCTGCAACTATAATCAAAATTTCGGTGCTGAATACCAGTTCCAATAAGCTGCTACATACATACTTATTAGCTGATTTAAGCAAGGCTTAATTATTTCCTATGCAAGGAAGAGATGGAGAAATTTTGTGCCCACATGTGCTGTCCACTTGTTCTTGGTGCGATCAAGAATCATGATTGACTTATTTGGAACAACTCAGGATGTTCAGTTTTAAACTGTATTTTAATAGTTAAACCTTTTTTCTGAAATTGGTAGATATAGGAATTGTGGTTAATTGGAAATTCTTGACTGTGGGCTCATGCAAAAAGAAGAGTATGGCAGGAAAGACCTATTAATATTTTGGACTGTTGAGATAAAATACCAGTGTGATCAATATCCCATTCTAAAATAATTGCCTAACCAAATTTGAGTCTTTTGCTTTAAGTAGAAAGTGCTTTCAAGAAAGGTGGAAAAACCAGAACAGTGTGTACATATGAACAAATTAGGGGAAATGATATATGGGGGGTGGGGGTGGTGCAAAACTGACAGGTCAATTATTCAAAATAACAGCATAGTAATGACTTCTAGGATAATAGAAATGTACGGCTTAATGCAGTTTGTTCCTTCTTTATGTTCAGATGTTGTTTTGTATGGAGGGACATTTAGTAGAAGACATCAAATTTCTCTCCAGCACATATATACACATGTCTAAATGTTTGTTATTTAATTTATTAAATTCATATGGCCACCCAACTCACACAGTTATAGAAGTACTTCGGGATGAACATGATCACGATTTTTAATAGTTTGATTTATACTGCATATCTGAATTGTTTCAGGAATTCTGCATTCAGCACTCAGAAATCTAGAAAGCAACTGATTTCCAGGACATCCACGGACTAGGAATGTGTGCACCCATGTCTGCTCCCTGCTTTTAGCTTTTAGCTTTATTTTCTTGATGATGGCCTGCATGGGAAGGCTCTATTTCCCACTTTTTAATATAGGGTAGTGGAAGGATGCATTTAGATGGACAGCTCTTGTTGGTTAAAGGATATTTGTATGTTTCTCTCTTTCCTCCCAGAGATCTCTAAATGAGATCTTTGGGGGCAATGAGATCTATTGGATAATAAAAGCCTTGGCTGCAAGCATCTGTCTACTGAGAAACATACCCACACAAATAACTAATGAAAGTACAGTAGCCAAGTTGTGGTTAGCCTGAACTGTGTGTACACTGAAGCAGAAAGGCTTAAGTTTTGGAAAAATGCAGAAGATGGCAACCAAGCTGATCAAGGATAAAGAATTGAGCAACTTTACCAGGAAAAGTTAATAGCTATAGGATTAGTTCAAAACAAAAGAAACTGAAGGAGATATGTTCAAGGTGTATAAAATCAGGTAAAGAGGAGGGTAGCCCCTTCAATATATTAGGAATAGGGTCTTCCAAGTAACTGGAAAAGTTATAAGGGAAAGAAAAAATATTCCACACAGCTTGGAATTGCATATGGAGTTCTTTATCATGAAGCATAATGATGTTGACCACTGGATAGCTTTCAAGAGAGAATCGTGGAAAGTTGTGCTAGCAAGGGACTCATTGTTGAAAATTCAGTTTTTCCTCCAGGCGCCAATTGTAGAGGGGGCAATGGAAGGGAAAAAGGAATGCATCATGTCAATCTGATTGTGAAAAGCAATTGGCAAGGAGAAACAAAATGCCTCGACCTTGGCAGTTTTAAGATGTGTGGAGTTCAATTTCCAGAATTGCGCTAGATTAAGATAGATCTTGGTTTGACCCTGAATGGCTATTCTTTCCGATTTTGAATTTTATTCTGCATTTTAAGCATGTGCAATACTTAATTATCCATTTCTTGATAAAGATTTTTAGGCTGGATCTGGATGGGGAGGAACTCTTAGCACTAAACTGATGGACACATGCAGTAAGTCTGTCCCTAAGCTTAATAAAAGTAGGTGCACTTCTTCCTCTCCTTCTGTTCTAAGACGGTGAAGCGTGCAGTTCCTGACATTTATGAAACTTCAAGACATACTATCGAAGTAGAGAAAGCCAAAAACATGTTTTGTGCATCAGTTTTTATCTTTAGAGGATCAATACCCCCTTTGTTTTTAACAAAAGTGGGGGAGGAAACAACCTTCCTGGATGTCTATTATTTTCTAGGTAACTATTTGTAGCACTTGTAAAACAGTTCCAATCTGTTATCATTTCAGTGGACATTTTCCAGATCCCCTAGTTTGGTTACAATCTTGGATTTCCTAGTGGTCCCCTATCCAGGCACCACCCTGCTTAACTTTTTAAACCATCATCCCCTGATTTTATTATGAACCCCAAGCTATAATGTCCCCAGCTCGGCGCATGCGCAGCAAAAGAAAAAAAAATAGTCCACCAGGCAGGTGGGGGCTGTTGGTTGAGAGAAGCTGCGATCGAGGACAAGCATGCGCATTCCCGCCTGGGAACACCACGCCCCCCTCTCCGGCTCCGAATGGCCTACGTGAGGAGCGTCAGGGAGGAAAGGCTGCCATCTGCTGTGAGTGGGCGGGGCCTGTGCCCAGGCTAGGCGCCAGGCTTCCACGGCGCGTGCGCAGCGGCTCGGCGGAGGCGGGGTCGCTGGGGCTGGCGTCGGGGAGCGTACAGATAGCCACTCGCGATCCCAGCTGTGCTGCTGTTATCGCCGCCGCCGGTCTTGTCCTCGGGAGCTGCCTCCGCTCCTCCTCCACACGCTGCCTCGGACGGACCAGCTCCGCGCTCGCCGTCACCCCGTTCCGCCGCCATGTCGTCCCCTCAGGACTTGTCTCACCACAACAATAACAACAACCTGCCGCCCGAGGGGACGCCCACCGAGCCAGGCCTCAACAGTGAGTGGGGGCTGAGGGCGGGTCGGGCGGCGCGGCGGCGGCTCCCTTCATCTTTCCCC